AAATCTACAAGTTACATAAAGAAATGCAAATGAGTTTTCTTCGCATTATCTGTAGTAACTACTTTTACTACCTCAACAAATGCTTTAAGAAGGAAAGGAAGCTTCCAAGAGAGATACCAAGCAAACGGAATATTTCTTTAAGGTTGTTTAATATTATACAGAAAATATCATCGAATTCCTTTATTCAGTCGAAAATTATCCTGATAACTGGCCACGTAAGGAAATGAATACGGTTTCTAGTTTCATTCATTATCTGTCCAATAGAAGGAAGTAGAATTTTCTCTTGCTGTTTTCTTCACGATATTTAAGATTTTGGATTATGTCTTTGACTTATTGCAATACAAAGGTCTAGATATTTTGTACTGCTCAAGAAAAAAATTATGACAATGAAATTTTAAAGAAATTTTGAAAAAATGAAAATGAAGATTTTAGATTTTCAAGAAGTGCAGATGGAAGCCAACAGTAACGCCGATAAAGAAAATCAGCCACGAAAATTCAAACGACATAGAAATGTTGACTGTCATTCCGAACACATAAATATTTTTTTACGAAACTCTGGATAGTATCACAACGCAAACAAAGTTACGATTTGAATCTCTGAAGGGATTTTCAGTTTGTGGTTTTATTAGATTCAAAACGTTTTTCGGAAACTTTCCTCACGATTTCTTGCCACAGTTAAAATAACCTAATGCTTCATATTTTGACTATTTAGAATCAAAAATGAATTAGAAATTCTTTATTCTCTTACCTAATGCAAAAATAAATCAATATATATATTTGTAATAATAATAATAATAATGTAAATAATCAAAAATATGTAAATTTGTGTACGAGAAGATAAACTAGACATTGCGTTTAGTGGAGATTACCAAATAACAGAACTAATGTTAACGGCGACATCAAATACTGTTACTGCCGAAAGAAGGTTTCTTGCAATAAATACGTATTTCAGAGCAACACAAATACAAAACCCTTGAGCATCTTTGGGCATTCTTTAAAAACTGTACGACCAAATGGATCTTTTCACAGATTCTTTTGTATGATAATATGACAGCGTTATTTAGAGGTAAAAGCACTAACCTTAAAAATTACTTTTATTAAAATAAAAAAGTACAGTTTTTCTAATTTAATAAAAATGAAGTTTGACCAAGACAGATCAGCTTTTGAACCCAATATACAGGGGTTGGACAAAAATATGGAAACACCTTTAAAAAAACATGTTTCTTTGCTTAATATGGTGTAGGAAACCCGTTGGCATCCAAAACAGCTTGCAGTCTTCTCAAAATGGATAAATACAGTTCCTGTATGTTTGCCAAGGGAATATTATACCATTCTTCCTGCAAAACGGTGGCAAGTTCAGATAACGATGTTGGCGGTGGATAACGAGAATGCACTTTCCGTTTCAATGTAGACCACAAAGGTTCGATAATATTCAGGTATGGTGACTGTGGTGGCCAGGGAGATGGGACAACTCATCCTCGTGCTCAGAAAAACCAGTCCTGGACAATGTGAGCTGTGTGAACAGGGGCTTTGTCGTCTTGGAAGACACCATCACCATCGGGGAACAAAGTTTGTACCATGGGATGAATTTGATCGGCCAAAATGTTCACATAAGTCTTGGCAGTCATGTGCCCTGACACAGTTATCATGGGGCTAGCAGAGAACCACGATATGGCTGCCCAAACCATAACAGAACCCCCGCCATGTTTCACTCTTGGCAACAAGCAGTCTGTATTATAGGCTTGAGATGGCGTTCTCCAGACGTAAACTTGGCCAGAAGTGGGAAACAATGTGAAAGAAGACTCGTTAGACCATATTACTCGCTTCCACTGCTCTATAGTCCAGGCTTTGTGACTTAAACTCCACCTTTTCCTGTTACGGGCATTAGCATCACTGATGAGTGGCTTCTCAACTGCAGCACGGCCAGCAATTCCCTGTTTATGAAGCTTCCTTCTAATTGTTTTGGTACTCACAGGGTTCGGTAACACAACATTCATTTCAGCAGTAACTTTTGCAGCTGTGGTCTTCTTATATTTCGTCACAATTGCTCTTAATGATCGTCTGTCACTATCACTCAGGACACACTTTCATCCGCGCTGTGATTTAGCAGATGATGTTTCTCCGCTTTTCAAATATGCGGAATAAATCTTTGATACAGTACCTCTTGAAACACTAAACACCTCGGCTACCTTGCTTACGGAAGCACCTACCATACGTGCTCCAACAATTTGCCCACGTTCGAAGTCTGTTAACTCTGACATAATGCAATGACAACCTCACATAACAATACTCCGACAACAACTGAACTGTTTAGCACATTTACGAAGTTGTATAGGTGGCGTCAGTAGTCAAAAACGCCAGCACCACCTATATATTTCATTAAAATCAATCTTTCTTTTCAAACATGCATTTCACAAGGTTTTTCCATATTTTTGTCCATCCACTGTATGTCACAAGTCCGATACCACAAGTGAATGCCGTCTTCTTCTTTACGCTCTAGACTAGCTACTATTGCATGAAAACCATTGTCCATTAATAAAATGAAAATGAGAGTGCACATTTTTGGCATTTACCTGCAGAGACTAACCAGTTGTGTGCTATAGTGTTACCAGGAAGAGAACTATATCTGCAGTGGTATCGGTAGCGCGAGACTAAGGTTAATGTCTGGAACGATACGATTTGAGATTTTTTCCGCAGAATGTGAATGGACTGGATTTAGTGCAAAGAACGTTGGGTGTACATTATTAAACCTATTATATATTCATCTATTTGTTCGCTAGCTGTCCGGGATTTAGTGGTGATGCTGTCAGTGTATGTGTGACATTATTTCCATAATCCACTCATTCTCCATATCCTAGGCACAGCATTATAACAAAAAATGGCATGTGACAGGTGACGGAGGACGGGGACGCCTGGTGTTTAACAGAGGTAAACAGGCATATGTCCCGCGCCCTCCCCTATCTACCGGGGGTTTATTGAGATCTTAAAAGATTTATTACATTGCCATACAGGGGCAGGTGAGAGATACATTGGCTATTTATATTGTATTACAGATATTAGGTTTGCAAGGTATACGTTACATAACATACTGGTTACACATAAAAAAAAAAAGAAAAAAAAAGAAAAAAAAAGAAAAAAAAATTATTAACATAACACATACATGACATGACACATAAATACTATTAATAAAGAAGGTACATGCGCTTAGCAGAAGGAAGGTACTGTATTTCCTTAGATGCAGAGGATACTTACTTCACTTAAGACCCTGAATTAGGGGGTGTCATAGGTCTTGCGCCGGGCGTTATCTGGCTGATTATTCTGCAGATGGTATTCACTGTGCCTTTGTTATAACGATGAATCGTTTGAAGGCTGCTGGCAAGTGGAGGTGATTATCCTCCGTGAGCGGGCATTCAAAGATGTAATGGTCTGGAGTTCCGAGCGACCCACAGACGCACAAGCCTGTATGAGAGATACCAAAATCGCTCAAAATAGGTGGGAAAGGGCCCGTGCCCCGAGATGTAATTAGTGATGGGAGGTATGGAGTATTGGCGCTCCATTTTCACTCTAGGCAGAAATAAATTGGTTCTGCGACCCGTATCACAGGTCTCCCATTCAGCTTGCCACTTCTGCAGACCTTTTTCCGAAATCTTTTATCCTTATTTTAAGCATTTACAATTTATATTATTTCATAACACCATAGGACCAGATTTCACTTTTATAGGGGCCCACCAGCGGCCGAGCGGTAAAGACGCTGAACACTGGTAGTTCGGTCCGAGGTTCGAATCCCGCGAACGGGCTGGCTGCATGGGCGTTTTCGTGGTTTTCCCCATGTGTAACGTGTATACGAGCCAGTTTCCCTTAGAAAGTCCTCCACGAAGGCATCCCTCCCTTTAGGCAGATAGCCCTTGTGTGCTTTGCCATAATTGAATAACCTAACCCAACCCACTTCTATAGACAACAACATCTCACCCTATAAAATCAGCATGTTATCATTTTGTCTAATGACCAAGACAATTCTTAGAATGTCATTCATCAATACAGTAGCCCGTCTTCGACCTTCTTGAATATATATTAGATGTTCTTGGAATAGATGTAGATTTCTATCAGTTATTTCAAAGAACCACCAAAGTAAGAACTCCATTAAGTTTGCCGACGTAAGTAGGGATTAATGTCTTTTGACTTCAAAGAGCTTTTATTTGCTGACATAATCATCATTAAATAACCTGCGTAGTTCTTAAACCTGCATTATCTCACGCATTCTGTATGAAACGGGGGGGGCATACAGATATTTCTATGTAGAAATGTTTTAGGCTTTCCTATTTACTTGTAATCATTAGTGTTTTAGCAATTTGTTAACTAAAGAAGTATACATGCCCCTATATATTCTGCCATTTTTGTGAAATGTGTACGGTTACAAGAGTCAGTGACCTACTACATATTACCATAAATTTTGATAAAAGTTGTTGTTTTTTCTACTTATTTCCTTCTATTTTAGTGTATCTCTTTTCATGGGAAGTATGTAAGAAAATAGAAAGAAAACAATGTTATAAAATTAAAGGGTTTCTCTGTAGTAGTCGCTGAACACTGGTAGTTCGGTCCGAGGTTCGAATCCCGTGAACGGGCTGGCTGCATGGGCGTTTTCGTGGTTTTCCCCATGTATAACGTGTATACGAGCCAGTTTCCCTTAGGCAGTCCTCCACGAAGGCATCCCTCCCCTTAGGCAGATAGCCCTCGAGGCTTTGCCATAATCACATACATTCTCTGTAGTATTCTGTGTGTGATATTTAATAGCACTGATATTCATCTTCTAAGGAAAACATTCTCGTGTTTACATTAAGCATTAGTAAAGCTACTATTCATCATAGATGGAAGAAGTCTCAAGCGCATTTTGTTTTAAACTGATGTGCTACAATACTGACCAAAACATTTATGGAAACATGAGGCATATTTACGCAACAAAAAATGGAAAAGAATTTGAAAATAGTTGATAGTATACTTACCATTTCGATAAGATCGTCATCAAAGTCATTGGGTCTGGTGGACGAGAAGGAAAGAGGATACTGTTGAAGTTCTTTTTCTACTTCGTGAGACCTTTTCCTTCCATTCGTCCACCCCCTGCTGTATTGATAAGTTTGACCGACAGTCGATAGTGCAAGTTGAAGAACAACCAGCATTGTGACAGCTGTAGCGCTCTTCATCTCCACCATGAGTGATTCCTGTAAAAATCTCTATTTAACTCAATTGAACAAATATTTCATTTATTCCCTTTGCTATCAAAGAATTTTAGGGTCTTTGTATCCTAGCATTCAACTACTCGAGGTTTAATCTGCTGTGGTATGAAATTCATGATTATTTATGGAACTTGTCATTTTTTTGTCATTCTACGAAGAAACAGATCACAAGCTATATTTGTATTAAGCGCATTCCGATATTAAGGACTAAACTATTCTGCACATCATAAGAAAAGTAAGCCTACCCGTACAAATGAATTTTTCATCATTTCTCAGTAAAGATAAGAAATCATATCCTAAACCGAGTTGTTTACTAATTTTGGTTCAAGAAGCAAAAAGAATTTTGAACAGTTTATGTGTAACGAAGTATATTTGCTGTCTGGATTGCTTCACTAGTATGAATCTTTTATTTCCTAACTAACGGATAAACTGCTGCCTCGTATGAAAACGTGGATGAAGTAAAATATTTGCTTAAGTCTAAAATGTACCTTTATGGGTCCCATTAGCAAAATTATTCCATCATGGCGACATCTATAGTGATAATTTAATCTTCTAAAAAACCACAGAATGGGTCTTGGTCGAAGTAAATGCTTACTGTAAGTATTTACCGTCTACTGGAAAGATATTTTAACAGAATCTAAATGTACTCCTAGTTTCGTAATAAATTTTTAAAGAAGCAAATTTAGTCATTAAGATTCCTGAAAAAGGAATAGGTAAATTTATCAGCACTAGATAAAGTTTTACAGTTTGCATTCTTACCGGGCTTACTATTTTGCTTAGAATTGACAAATTTTATCAGTGAAAAGAGCTCGTCCTATAAATATAAATTTTCAAATTAATCAGTCAAAACATTATAATAAAAATTACCAAGCACTTACATATTTGTTGTATGAAAAAGGTTTCTGATGTTTCATAGTCACATAAAGTAATTTATCAAACGAAATGATGGCATTCTTTCTTTTAAATATAAAATGCATATTCTATTAGAAAAACGGCGAACGAACAATATATTTTTAAAAAATGTTTTGCACAGAATTTGTAAAAAAAGGATTTCTGTTTCTTACTTAGTTACATAATGAATGACAGCTAGATAACATATTCAATGAATAATCATTGCCAATATACGTACTTCTTAAAATATTAAAAAAAATTTAAGCGGTTTATAAAGCATAAAAATTAGGCACTCAGTAGTTAAATTCAATTATCGATGTTTCTTATAATTTAAAAATAATTAAAAATTACATGATATGTAAGAGATATATATTTATAAATTTGCTTACACTTAAAGAATAAGAAATAAGTTAACAATTAACTGAAAATGCAATAATCTTACACTTAATAGGGTTTCGGTTAGGGGATTTTTCCAGTTAGCATGGCTTGTTAATTGCTCGTTCTTGTATTTATCATGGGTAGAATTTTTCCTCAGTCTAAACTCAGTCTAAACAAATAAAGACAGTACTTTTGTCGAAAAAAATGGAAGAGAAGATGGGCATTTGCCATGACACCAATCATTCTATAGTTAGCTTTAAACGGCAAGTGGGAGAGAGTGCATTGTTTTCGTTGCCCACTAAAAATCTAGTTATATACTTTTCTTCCAAGTTTTTTTTTTTTTAAGATTAAAAAGTATCTTTACCTATTAGACAACAATATGTGAGTAGAAGAATGAAAGCAAGAATAACTATCTTAAAGATGATTAAGATTTTACTTAATTAGCAATAATCAAAACGAAATAATCTTAAGAACTAAGATAGTGAAAGATAACTTGGTGCTGTTTTAGTATAAACTAAGAAATAGGATAAATATTTTTAAAACTTACTAATATTTCTAAAACGATAGCACTATATTTCAACTATAACATAACCTATACAAAACCGATGAAACATAATTGAAATTTAAACTGCTTGTCATTAATATGGCTTAAAATCATAATCAGACCTTAATTCTTATTAGTATCAAACCTACTCAAAGAAAAACTTCAAGGACCTTTTCCTCAGTTTGAAACTAAGCAATGACGCAGTAGGCGAAAATAGTATCTTAGATAGCTATGTCTCGTTTGAGAGTTTGAAAAGGGCACTAGATTACATAAGGATCTGAGGTGAAAGAAAAAGTGCTAAGGGAAAAGACTTGAGAAAGCTTAAAAAATCATTCAAAGGTTCTGGAACTTGAAATCTATGATGGCAGACGGATATTTAATGCAGATGATAGTTCTTTATTTTTTAAGGTTATGCTTACGAAAGTAAGTCTTTCTTTTTAATGATGAAAGAACTTCCCTGGCGATAAAGTATTAAAATATCTGTCACGGATTTAATGGAAGAACAAGTTGAGAATGGTTTTAAAATAAAACCAGTGGTCATAAGTCAGACTAAATTTTTCTGAAGCTTCCCAAAGAAAACATCAAGCAAGTATTTCATTTAGAAAATGGGCACAATTAAGGCATATTAAAACTTTTCATATAAAATATAAAAACTATATAAAATAAACTATGTAAATATATATATAATATAAAAGAAGAAAGCACGAAATATGCTTTTGAAAATGGGCTGGCTACAGATCCATGCTCATTTTATAAAATTAGAATTCTAAATCATAAATTCTTATCTTATAAAAGTTTTTTTTCTATTTTTGCGTAAGTTTATATATTGCGAATAGCTCTTTCTGCGGATATGCGTTTTTAATTAAATCCAATGCACGTTTAAATTGAAATCCGCTTTCAGTAAATGATTACATAATTTCACTTTAACGGAAGAAAATTATGATTTAGAGCAAAAGTAGTAATTGCTTAATATACCTTTTTGTTTTAAGAAAACATTTGTATTTAGGTCAATGTTTTAAACTAAACTCGAAATAATTTTAAAGGCGAAACTTGCCTGTCAACACTTTATTTTATGTTATTTATTTCTGGAGGAAGAGGGTATTCGTTTTAGGGTGCAGCCAGCGAATTTACCTGACCTAAAACCCATACAGTATGTTTGGAATGCTTTAGGGAGAGCTAATGCACAATGTTAACACCCTTCCAGAATTTTCTAAAAGTTAAAACTTTTGGTTTTGAATGAATGGGACTTGTTGCTACAAAATGTGATTTTACAGTATAAAGACGTATTTTAGCCGTTTATGGTTTCCATTTATATACTGCAAGACCTTTACTCCCTATCTATTTCCTTACTTTACTATTGTCTCTCACTTAGTAATAACTTCTGAATACAAATGTCAATACAACAAACACATTATTTAACGAAATATCACTTTTATGTGCTTGTAAAGTTAATTTTGGATGGCAGTGCATTTTAGATATTCTAAGTTCCAGCTGGTATTTAGATACAAAAAAAAAAAAAGTAAGAAATAGCGAATTTAGTTTAAGACTTCTGTAATGAAATGGAGTACCTAAGCTTCATAAATATTTCATTTCTTTGCTGGAATTATACCAAATTACTGAAAGCACCCCCAGAATGCACAGATGTTGGTAATCAGATGTAAATTTGAGATATCTAAGAATTTAGCCTCTCGACTAGGCAGTCATTTCTAACGTTACACTTTCAGCGCACATTATTTTAAAATGTAATGCATCGGTCCAAAAATCTATTTGATTACCAATACACTGATCTCAAATTTTCTTCCAACGTGTCCCTCAAACTGTTTTAAATTTCATGAAACATGAAAATGAAAATGAAAATGAAAAATGAAAATGTTTAAACAAAGTTTTGAAGCGTTTGAATAAATGGAATAAATAAAACATTCAGATTCATTGCAAAATCAGGAAATTTGGATAAGAGATAAGCGCAATGATTTTATTTATTTATTTATTTATTTTTTATTTATTTATTTTTTGGTGACGAAGTATTCAGCTTAGAAGGAAAAAATCGAAAGCTCTGTAAAATTGTTCAGTAAAGTGTAAACAGTCGAATTACTGGAGGACTGGATTTCAAATGAAAGGAGGTGAGATAACTCTCTTTGGCATTTATTCCAAATACGCTAAATATTAATATTTAACCCTTAGTGTTTCCTTTAAAATTCTCTCCTTAGACATGGTGTTAAAAGAAATGTTCTAAACAACAAATTAAATAAAAAGTTACGACATATTCACTAAACCCTTTCGTTCAGTATGAAAATATCTGTATTTCTATTGAGCCGTAATGTGTTTAGGTGTACACGTAAAAGGTAAGTTTTTATTGTATTATGCTTAACATCGATAAATGGGATTCTGGAAAATAATAAAATTGTGTATATTCGATTAGATGTTTCTGATGATTTTAGACCGACGCATAATATTTTTGAAACAGCCAGAAAGAAAAAAAAGGAAATGTAGAAATTCATCTTGCTTTAGGAAGTAATAATTTTCAGATTCTTCCATAGTCCTCTCACAAATGAAGAGATTTCGCATTCTAATGCATGTTAAGTTTACATTTAATTCAACTCATCACATACTTTTAAAGCATGTGATGAGTGTCTCAAGTGTCCGAGGGGATTTAAAAAACACAATTTTCACGCTAAATATAAAATTTCTTGCTAAATGATACTTTAACATGTACAACGTTTACAATTACTTACTTCTCTATTTTTAAAGATTTTTAACAACTGCATGTTATCAGGGAAGAAAGAGACAGGTTATGCAATGCTGCTTACGTAAATGAAAAATACTTCTAATGCTTTGGTAATAGTTATTCAGTTAATTGTAATAAAACAATGATATAGATAAAATTAAGGATTTTTTTAAAAGGGGATTAAGTCTTTTCCCCTGTGTATTTGTATTGCTGCTTTTTAATTTGTTCTTCATATCAGTGTTAATTTCTTCAAGTGTTAAACTGGTGAGAGGGAGGCCGCTTACTACTGCCCTGGGTCTCGGAGAAAGTACGTCTGTTTATAAATTTATAGTGTCTTTTCGGCATTAGGGACTTAAAATACTGTCGAGCCGAACGTTTTCTCGAGAAGAAAAGGAAGAAAGATGGGAGGCTCTACTTTAACAGATGAAATAATTCAAAACAACAATATATTAACTTTAACAATAAAATATTAACTTGAAATTGTTAGTCATCACATAATCTTACTGACTTTTTATTTCATAAATTTTGCTGTATTTTATGAAATCACATTAGTAATATTTTGTTTGTATTAATTAATTATTATTATAAAATGGACTATTTGGACTATTTAATATACAAAATTTCTCGGAGAAATAAAATAAAACATTAAAATTTAATTAAAATTCTTTCATGAAATTTAATTCAATATCGTGAGTTCACTCATTTAATTTAAGAAAATATTTACTTCAAATTCAACAGTCGAAAGCAGTTTATAATTTTAATTATTTCTATGACTTTAAGGTATCAAAATGCGATAATTTAGAAAATGGAACAAGGAGATAAAATTTTAAAAACACGTTGACGAAATTTATAAGCTAACTGGAGTTAACTATATTCATATTTCGTCCATTAATGTGCGTCGACGTAAAAGTGCTTTATTTGTACTAAGGGCGTTATTTTATTGGAATGATACATGCCTCAATTAATTGGAGAAATTTATAAAACATTTTTAGTAATAAACAATTTTGAAGTCGTGATTAGAGGCAACTTTTGTCTCGAATTGTTCTGGATGAAGTTAATAATTTTGATGGGGAAACTGAAACGTAATCATTCTTACCTCCTGCAATGTGGTGAGCAACTGTACACAGAGTTGTCCTCTGAATTCCAAGTTCCACTCTTCACCTCATGCTTCATTTCGCCATCATTTATTCTACCAGTTTCTGGGATGTCCAAACCGAAGTCACGTGGGAAGTCGCAATCCTCTCTCATTGGCGGAAAACTGCATTTAGAAACTTTCGGCTGACGCCGAAATGCATCTCCTAGGAAATGACTTCATTCTCACCTACCTGCCACGATTGTTCCTTAGGTATAAATTAAACGCGTAGGCACTAATAGTTTTTATGAATTACATATTTCAGCGGAATTCGTTTCGTTATTTAATTGCAAATACATAATATATCGTTCTTAAAATGCCTTACATGGAATTTAATGCCCAAAACATCGTGTTTATTAGTTTTGTTGAAGTAAGTAAAAAACATAGGGGCCATAAGGTTTATCTGAAGCACCTTATTTACTGCTATTACTTCAGTAATTCAAAACTTAATCTAAAACCATCTTTGTACAACTTTCTTTCAAGCTTCCTTATTTAAAACTTAAAACTTTTTATTACACTTTTATTTCTGACTCTTATAAAGACTAGAGAAAGTTTTAAAAATATCTGTTTCTGTTGATGTATCGAAGAAATTTTTTTTCGCGTTTTTATAAGACGTTTACTACGGAAAGATCTAAAATGAATTTCTAAAACAAAATGTTTGAAACAGTTATCATGTAAAAGTTTTAATGCTCTTAATAATCGTTAATAGTTTTGATATTAAAAGTAAAAAAAATTAAGGAGTTTACTAAAACGTATTTTGTAACCTTATTCTCTAGAATAAAACTATCTGTTAGGCTCTCTTTGAGCATTAGTTTGTAGGTTAACAAAAGAAAGCCTTATTTTAAAATTATTAAAATTTTAAATAAATTATAAAATTTTTGTTAAAGCAAAATTTAAAGATTTGTTTTAAGCAAATTAAGGTGCTTTTTAAGCAAGTATTAAAAGTTAACTCGCACCGAAAATTACATAAATTTTGAGATTTATATTAATACAAGATATTAATACAAGACTTTTGTTTTTCTTCAGTCATAATTTTTAATTTTATTTTAAAAATTTCTTTTGAAGATCAAAATGAATATCACGTTATTGACATTTTAACGAATTAAATTATGTGTCTTAAAAGTGAATGCTAAGCGGGGAAAGTATAATTCATGAAAACTTGAAAATGATCCTATTTAAATGTGGCTAACGGTTTAACGATTTCATGATTTATATTACTGGAAAAAATGACACAAGAATCAATATTTCCAAACAAATGACACTCTCTGCTTCGTTATTGATTGTCGATGGAGTGAAGCTATTTAAAGGTACTTGGATGCTTGATGACAGAGTAAATGATATAAACTAGAAAAGGCGCATTTTATTTGTCTTAAACATGAGATAGCGCTATTGGAAAAGGATTGCAGTTGGAGCTTTTAACACCCACTACATTCCTGTTAACAGCATTTGGAATTATTTTGTAAGTTTCCGAGTATAAATCATGGGAATAATAAGAAATTCTACAAATAACCTAACCCGTAAGCATGCTTGTGAGGGAGAAAACGAGTAAAGATATTTTATGATTTCACTATAATACATTACAGACAGAATGTGAAAGCTCGAAATAAATTTCTATATATGTTTATTAAAAAGTTCCTTGCTTCTTTCCTTCACAGCTTTTAAGTCGTCCAAAAACTGCATACCAAGAAAAGGGACCTGGGAGTTTCTGCTTTATTTGACAACTATTGCATCTTATGTTAGCTTCTTATGTAGAATTTTGATGACTTCATAATTGAAGATCACGCTTATTCGAAAAAAAAAAAAAAAAAAAAAAAAAAAAAACAGTAAAATTAAAGCTTCTGCAGTAGTATAAAAGAGCCGTTTCAGGGGCAGGAGGAAAAGTCCGCAAAGACAACGCACAGGTAGAACTAACTAATTAAGAAAAGGACAGTGTAAATGAGATAAGGCAAATAGGTTGTCGAGGTGATGTTGCAATCTGGTAAGCGAATTAGGCGCTAGATAATTTTTACTCAGTTTAGGTAAATTTAGCGATGATTATCTGAATAAATTTTTAGGACTTTTAACCGTTGTAACTTGCATATTCCTTTGTATTTCGACTATTTTACCTTGTAGTTGTTAATTTCCATTCATATCTGCCCATTTTCAACAATTTCCTTCACATTCCTACTTCCGACATTAATTGCTCATTCGAACGACTATCATTTATTTTACTTGATTTAGTCTTTATTTTTAACGTTTCCCTTTCTTTTTGTCTTCACCTTTTCAACCTTTGTAATTTTCAACATATTCCGAATTTTAGCTTATTCCTAAATATTCATGTACATGATTTTTATTTAAATTATTTCCTTTTAAATGTAATTTAATTTTTTTTTTGGAATTTTTAACCTTTCTAGTTTCTTGTATTCTTCTTCTTCCATAATACCTTCTTCCATAATAATTCGTTTCTGTACTCTTAGTACCCAACATCTAATTTCGGCGCTTAATTTAAGTTTATGTACAGCTTTTGATTTCTTCCATACAGTTAACACCTTATAACGTTCATACATTGTCCAATATTTTTAATTAAACATTTCATTTTACTTCTGTATCTGTTTATTTCTGTTCTGTAGCTGTTTTAATAGCATAATTTGCGTCAATTTAAAAATTATTTCATGTTCATCATCCTAATACCATCATATATTATTTTTAAGTCTTAAACTATCAAAGTAATTTTATCGTTATTTAATTTAAATTTATATTTCAAAAGTGAAATTTCAACTTTAAATGGCTTTTCCTCAAAGTACTGTATTTTAATCTTGCTCGCATGATACTTATAAAATCGCTTAAGGTACGGCTTCAAAATATTTAGCACATATGAATATCAAGACAATAGTGCTATAATTATGAAGAAGTGATGAATAACAAGTGTTGTTTCAGTAAAATTGCATCCAAAAAATTAAATAATTTTTTATGCTTAGTTATTTTTTTATATTGAACTAATTAAAAGATTATACTTCAGCTAAATAATGAAATGAATGCGTTTAATATGACATGAAAACTTTGCAGATCGTGTTAAATGTGCACAAGATATCTAGTGCACAGTGAAGACAATAATTTGAGTTAAAATTACACAACGAAGGACGATTATTTGAGAAGATAAATCGAAAAGAATCAATGTAATTTTCATAAATTTTCAGGACTAGTTTCAAAGTTTTAAAATAGAACAAACTTCTTCAGCTGCAGAAGTTCAAATAACGAAAAAGAAGCCATTGGTAAAATAAGACGATAAGAATTAAAGCAAGGAAGTCAAGCTACGGGCACCATCTGTTGATGAAAAATGAAAACAACTAGGAAATACTTTTTTTTTAATCTTAGGGTAAAGACAGACTGGAATTAAACTAGAACTGAAAGATTTTTATGAAAGTGAAGCGCCTCTAGAAAATTTAATTCTCCAATGGAAGATGTTTTTTGAGAAATTTTGGCTGCAGAAAAATGGAAGATGTAATTTTCTGCCCAACAGTGTTGGGCAACAGATGATGTATAGGTTTCTCTCTTCTTAACATATATCTCATTTTCCTAAGCAAAGCACTGAATCAAATAAGAAAATATAAATAAATAAATAAAAACAATATTATGCAAAGAAAAGGAGGTAAACTATAAATCAAAGAATTAGGAAAAAAGAAACTTAGCGAAACTTATACGACGAAATTCTTAATCCAAGAGTATGGACACTAGAAACCAAGAAAATGTCGGCACAAAATGGCTTGTTAAAAGCCAATCAAATTTGACTTAAAATAATTTGTTAAAATAGCGTTTGCTGCTTTAACTCCTCCGAGTAGTATAATTAGAGACTTTAATTATTTGGGCTTGACAACAATATTTTTTGAAACTGTTCCGTTTCATTTGAAGTCTGTTTAATATGTTTTCACACAAAGTGGTATCTAACAATCTTGAACCTAGGTGCAGTGGTTATTAAAAAAATCTATAATTTATATAAAATATTTTGCGCTTAGTATTGGTAAAAGTTGCATGGAATCTGTAGGGGGGGCGGCAGGCGGGATTTCATTGCTAATTAAACTGATGATTGGTTATCGCCGGTCATACTGTAGTTTGTATTACACTGTAGAGACTTTTTTTAAAAGGAATAATCATATAAACGAACTGTTCTCTCACAGGAAAACCTAACAAAGGGTCTTGAAATTTACTAGCTGAATGTTTTAGCCACTATAGTGCAAAGATGCACGAGAGGAATGCCTTTAATTTCTTATAATACGATTAATTGTACAAAAATGAATAATGATTTCTTATACGATTTGAAATTATTTTTGTAACAGACCTATTTAAGTGTAATTGAACTATTTTATTCATGTCATGAACTGTAACCGAACTATTTTATTTAAACGCCATCTCGTGGCGATATGAAAAACGTCAGTCGACCTCCAGCCGCCATGATGATAGCTTACTATGTTATGTTATTCTCAATGTTTGATGTTCCATTTGGTATAAGTTTCATTTTTATATATATTTCTTTTGTTTGTAACCGTTCCTGTGTGCTCTGTTAATAAATCCTTTTAAAGCTAGCCGGCATTAGTGTCCATAGAGGAACGGCTACATCACATTTTTAAATAAAAGCAAAAATTAGGTAACTTAATCAAACTGGCACCTCATAAGATCTCATAATACTATCTCACTCATATTTATATAATACAGTATTTCAATACTGTATAATTAGCTATAAATGTAAGAAAAGTGCTTAAATACAATTAAATGCGCAAAACTAAAAAAGAATTCTTTTATTTAGTTTCAAAATTACGATCTTTTAAGTAACAGAAGAATAATTTAACAATGTTGGTAAAAGGCTATCTTATATTTTCACTAATTTAATATTTCTCAAGTATAGTCGCATTTGCAAAAAGTATCAGAAAATTGAATATTGTGAATTTCCATGCTCGTCGACCATATGATTCTTAAGATACACATCTTTAATGAGCCCTTCATAGCACTTTTAAAAACCGATGAAAGATTCTCATGCTGCATATCTTGAAATGCTGTAAAAAATAACTT